AATAAGTCCTGAAAATAAGAAACTCTAAGAAAAATTTTTTATTTGTAATCAATATAAGATCTAAATCCTAATTACATCATAATCTCCTTCCTCTTCTATAATATCATTTTCCTCATTATTTTCATCATCATTATCATCCATCACATCAGCATCACTCTTGTCTATTGCACCTGCATCACCTTTATCATCACCATCATATATAAATTCACTAAAAATCTCATCATCTTCTGACCCATCTAAAGCATTAGAAATACAACACTTTCGAAATGCCCGCTGAATAATTTCTGGACTGATCTCGTCCCACGCAGAAATGATCCACTTGCACACAATATCTAAACTTGCACGCTTTAGGTTTCCATTTGTAGTTTTTTTGACTTCACCACTTGCCATCCATTCATGCCAGTAACGACGAATAGCGATTTTAAACGGACGATTAATAGAAACGTCCAACGGTTGACACATCGACGTAAGACCACCTGGGATAACAACAACGTAGGCATTAGTTTTTTTCATTTCTTTTTTAATACTATCCGTAAGATGCGCTTTAAAAGAATCGTAAACGAGTAAGACAGGCTCTTTGTTACCACCGGGTCGCTTTTTCGCGAAATCGTGAGTCCAAGTTGCCATTCCTTCTTCGTCCATCCAGCCTTTTTCGTGAAAGGAAATATTGATATTGGGAGGGGGTGGTGGTATGCTTTTAGGCCATCGTTTACCTTTAAAGATAACAGTTGGTGGGTGTTTCTGGCCATCAGCGAAACATGTAAGGACAACCGTGAAGCGATTTTTGTCATTACCAGTAGTACGAACGTGAACTGTTTTTTTACCGATTTCCTCAACGGTAAGGTTACCTGACATATCGAACCACACAGGCGTCTCATCCATGTTCGCAATATGACTAAGTGGGAAATTCTTATCTTGACGTAGACGGATTATATAACGCTGAAAATTAAGTAGTTTCTCTTCAAGATCCTTGGGCAATTGTTGAGATATTTTCGTTTTATGGCGAAGGGTAAGACCATTCCGGTGCAAAAAACGCTTAAGCCATGTTGAGGAGGCTTTGAAATTAATTGCATTAAGTTTTTTTGTTGGGTCGTCTGTGTTTGCAACGGTTTCAGCAATGATTTTTAGCATTTCGATCTTAAGGCTGTTATAGGTAACGGCCAAAGCAGCCTCACGCATTTGAAGAAACCAGACAAAAAGTTGTTTTTCTTCAGCGGGAAAAGCCTCTTTTCTACCAGCACCAACACGACGAGATTTACGATTTCTAAGATCATTAAGGTAAGTTTTCAAACTTTTTACCCACTTACCAACCATACTCTTGCTAATGTCGAAGTGGACAGCAGCTTTAGTATTATTGGAAGCAAGTGCAAAACGAACAACGGCAGCCTTTTCTTCAACGGAATATGATCGTCTTTCCCCCTTTTTCACACGCGTCATGTTAGACTCAATGTTGCGCAAATTTTTTTTTTACATTTTTTTTATACGCGCACAAAACAAGATCAATTTTTTTTTTTATTTTTTTTTAAAAAAAAAGGTTACACGAAATTCCAAAGTTCCGAAAATAAGATACTCTTTAATTTTTTA